AGGGGTGGAGGATGCATGGACTGGAAAGCAAGCCTTCTTTTTGGTAGTCCTTATATTCAGGAAACACTATGAACCAAGTAATATGGTTGGCTCCCTCTCTTCTGGCATTTAAGATGTTGTTTGCTTAGTTTTTACACAGACTTTTGTTGCCCAGTTGTATTGGTGGGTCATCACGTATTCTTCCTATACCTGGTTTAATTTATTCATTTAGAACATTTTAATGGTCATTTAATTGAAACAGTATGACTTTAGGTGGCATAAAAGACATTGTTAAACAAAGATACATAGGAAAACAACACCTGTCAGCCGACTAAAGCAATTAAATCACAATCAGAACTAGTATATACTGTATTTCACCAGTTGGGAACTCAATTCTAACCCAAGCACCTACAGAAAGAACCAATTTTTTAACTACTTTTCTAAAAAATTACAAGCTTGAAGCCAACTGTATATTGGGGGATCCATGATTCCAAAGTGCAGGGGCTTGCCACTGTGGGCTTCATAAGTGATAATCAGCATTCTGAGTTGCACCTGGAAACCTATAGAGACTTAGTGCAGCTCATGGAGTAGAAAAGTCACATAAACATAATGAGAAATGTCCATAACAACCCCCGCCATTGCAACTGAACTTCCAGATGGTCTTTCAGGGCAACCTGATGTTGAGCACATTGCAATAAGCCAATCAGGAGATGATTAAGATATGAGTGTCTGTGAGAAGGTCCAGGAACAGGTGCAACTGACACTCTTCAAACAAGAACTGTGAGGCCAAAAAGACTCCAAAATTGTACACTGAATTTGAATGAGACAGTGAATGCCTACTCAGAATCAAAGTTGAAGTCTCTACAGTTCCAGTGCTGTAGGGCTGAGCTGGAGCCTGTTCTTCCTCATTCAAGCTTCCATTTCATTTATTGCTTTTCTATAGTTTGTAATCTATAGTTTGTAATCCCTTTATGGATTACTGCCTTGTCGTGGCGAAGGGGCTTGTGTAACTCAATGAAGCTATAAGCTATGCCGTGCAGGGCCACCCAAGACGGACAGGTCATAGCAGAGAGTTCTGACAAAATGTGATCCACTGGAGAAGGAAATGGCAAACCACTCCAGTATCTTTGCCATGAAAACCCCATGGACAGTACTAAAAGGCAAAAAGATATGACGCTGGAAGATGAGCCCCTCAGGTCGGAAGGTGTCCAATATGCTACTGGGGAAGAGCAGAGGGCTAGTACTAGTAGCGCCAGAAAGAATGAAGCGACTGGGCCAAAGCCGAAAGGACGCTCAGCTGTGGATATATCTGGTGGTGAAAGGAAAGTCCGATGCTGTAAAGATTTTTTCTCCATAGGAACCTGGAATGTAAGATCCATGAATCAAGGCAAGCTAGACGTAGTCAAAAAAGAGATGACAAGACTGAACATCGACATCTTAGGAATCAGCGAACTAAAATGGACAGGAATGGGTGAATTTAACTCAGATGACCATCAGGTATACTACTGTGGGCAAGAATCCCTCAGAAGAAATGGAGTAGCCTTCATAGTCAATAAAAGAATAGGAAAAGCAATACTGGGATACAATCCCCAAAATGACAGAATGATCTCAATTCGAATCCAAGGCAAACCATTCAATATCACAATAGTCCAAATCTATGCCCCAACCACTGGTGCTGAAGAGGATGAAATTGACCAGTTCTATGAAGCCCTACAGCACCTTATAGAATTAACACCAAAAAATGATGTCCTTATCATCATGGGGGATTGGAATGCTAAGGTAGGAAGCCAAAAGATAACCAGAATAACAGGCAAGTTTGGCCTTGGAGTACAAAATGAAGCAGGGCACAGGCTAATAGAATTTTGTCAAGAGAATACGATGGTCATAACAAACACTCTTTTCCAACAACCCAAGAGACGGCTCTACACATGGACATCACCAGACGGTCAACATAGAAATCAGATTGACTATGTGCTCTGCAGCCAAAGATGGAGAAGCTCTATACAGTCAGTAAAAACAAGACCAGGAGCTGACTGTGGCTCAGATCATGAGCTTCTCGTTGCAAAATTTAGGCTTAAATTGAAAAAAGTAGGGAAAAGCACTAGGCCACTCAGGTATGAACTAAATCATATTCCTAATGAATATACAGTAGAGGTGACAAATAGATTTAGGAATTAGATCTGATAGACAGAGTGCCTGAAGAACTATGGATGGAAGTTCGCAACATTGTACAAGAGGTAGCAACTAAAACCATCCCAAAGAAAAAGAAATGCAAGAAAGCAAAATGGCTGTCTGAGGAAGCTTTGCAAATAGCTGAGGAAAGAAGGGAAGCGAAAGGCAAAGGAGAAAGAGAAAGATACACCCAATTGAATGCAGAATTCCAGAGAGTAGCTAGAAGAGATAAGAATGCCTTCTTAAATGAACAGTGCAAAGAAATAGAAGAAAACAACAGAATAGGGAGGACCAGAGATCTCTTCAAGAAAATTGGAGATATGAAGGGAACGTTTCATGCAAAGATGGGCATGATAAAGGACCAAAATGGCAGGGACCTAACAGAGGCAGAAGAGATTAAGAAGAGATGGCAAAACTACACAGAAGAACTATACAAGAATGAGCTTAACATCCCAGATAACCACAATGAGATGGTCACTGACCTCGAACCAGACATCCTAGAATGTGAAGTGAAATGGGCCTTAGAAAATCTGAGCAACAACAAAGCTAGTGGAGGTGACAGTATTCCAGCTGAGCTATTCAAAATCTTAAAAGACGATGCAGTAAAAGTGCTACACTCAATTTGCCAGCAAATTTGGAAAACTCAACAGTGGCCACAGGATTGGAAAAGGTCAGTTTACATTCCAATTCCAAAGAAAGGCAATGTCAAAGAATGTTCAAACTATCGCACCATTGCACTCATTTCACATGCTAGTAAAGTTATGCTTAAAATCCTACAAGCTAGACTCCAGCAGTATGTGGATCGAGAACTACCAGAAGTACAGGCAGGATTTCGAAGAGGCAGAGGAACTAGAGATCAAATTGCCAACATACGCTGGATCATGGAGAAAGCTAGGGAGTTCCAGAAAAACATCTACTTCTGCTTCATTGACTATGCAAAAGCCTTTGATTGTGTGGATCACAACAAATTGTGGCAAGTTCTTAAAGAGATGGGAGTACCAGACCATCTCATTTGTCTCTTGAGAAACCTATATGCGGGTCAAGAAGCAACAGTGAGAACTGGACACGGAACCACTGATTGGTTCAAAATTGGAAAAGGAGTCCGGCAAGGCTGTATACTGTCGCCCTGCCTATTTAACTTATATGCAGAGCACATCATGAGAAAGGCAGGGCTAGATGAATCAAAAGTTGGAATTAAGATTGCCGGGAGAAATATCAACAACCTAAGATATGCAGATGATACCACTCTAATGGCAGAAAGTGAAGAGGAACTAAAGAGCCTCTTGATGCGGGTGAAGAAGGAGAGTGCAAAAGTTGGCTTGAAACTCAACATTAAGAAAACCAAAATCATGGCATCCGGCCCTCTCAATTCCTGGCAAATAGATGGGGAAGAAATGGAGGTAGTGACAGATTTTATTTTTCTGGGCTCCAAGATCACCTCAGATGGGGACTGCAGCCAAGAAATTAAAAGACGCTTGCTCCTGGGGAGGAAAGCTATGGCAAATCTAGACAGCATACTAAAAAGCAGAGACATCACCCTGCCAACAAAAGTGCGTATAGTCCAGGCCATGGTTTTCCCAGTTGCAATGTATGGCTGTGAAAGTTGGACCATAAGAAAGGCTGAGCGCCAAAGAATTGAGGCCTTTGAACTATGGTGCTGGAGAAGACTCCTGCGAGTCCCTTGGACTGCAAGGCGTTCAAACCGGTCAGTCCTAGAAGAGATCAACCCCGACTGCTCTTTAGAAGGCCAGATCCTGAAGTTGAAACTCAAATACTTTGGCCACCTAATGAGAAGGAAGGACTCACTGGAGAAGGGCCTAATGCTGGGAAAGATTGAGGGCAATAGAAGAAGGGGACGACAGAGAATGAGATGGCTGGATGGAGTCACTGAAGCAGTAGGTGTGAACTTAAATGGACTCCAGAAGATGGTAGAGGACAGGAAGACCTGAAGGAACATTGTCCATGGGGTCGCGATGGGTCGGACACAACTTCACAATTAACAACAACAAATAGTTTGTGTTGTTGTTCCCTGCTGAGAATCATGAGATAGTAGTAGGAAAATGTGGTATAAGAATAAATCTTTAGGAAGTAGCAAACACTATATAATTTGACATCTTGAATGGGCAGGGTTCATCAAAGAAAATTTGCTTCTAAATGCTTCCAGCAACAACAGCTCTAAGCTAGAGTGAAATGGGGGGGGGGGTGTGGATTAAAAAAGAAAGCCCTCTCTTCCTAATTCTCTTACTGCAGCTGTTGTGGCTGGAACTGTAGATGGAATAGCCCCAGAGAAAATCCCTGTCACACACACATGTGCACATAGACATTAAATGTTTTACCAGTTTGATTTCCTTGGGGATAGGCTTCTTTACTCACAAAAATATTTCCCATGGGACAGTTCCAGCAAAACTGATGTCAGTTAGAGAAGGGGGTAGTATGAACACATTTCTCCCCATCTCCTTGCAACTTTTGTGACTATGTCCCCAGCAAGTGGCTACATATTGTAGAGGCTCCATACATCACAGAAAGTACCACTTGATTCCTGATTCTGCCGTATTCTTTCAATTCTGCTTCTTAGCTGGATAAAACCTCTTTGGCAATCAAAATATTCTACTCCCTATTTGTCTAATGATAATTGTAGTAGATTGGAGGGCAATTAGAATTATTAGGTAGTTAGGACAATTATCCCTCTTTCTGTGGACTGTTTCTTTGTGGCCAGCTATACACAAAAATGGGGGAAGTGGTCAAAAATAATTATTCTTACTGAAGTTTATGATAGCCACAAGGTTTGAAATATACAGTATACTATTAAAAATGTTAGTTATCAGTTTCTTTCTTGCTTTCAAAATTAGTTCAACTTCAGCCTCCTTGCAACTTGCAACTGGAAAATGCCAGCAAGCCTTCCTACAATTTAACATGGACACTTTGTGTTGTCTCCCATTATCTAAAAGAAAAACTGGAATATGAAATACGATATAGAGCAAATTCTTCTGGTGAGGTAAGCAGAAAGATAGTGGAAGGCAACAACTTGATAGCACTGATTTTTTTTTTTTTTAGTCTGCAATTCTGCTTTGGACAGACAATAAGATAAGCAATATGGTGTAGGAAAACAAAACCACACAGTACAAGTACAAAGGCATGGAAGAAATATCATCTATTCTTGAAACCTGATAACAATTGGCTGCAGCCCAAATCTTTGGCTTACTTCACATACCAGTCTAAGCCACTTAGATGAATAAATAAAGATTCTTTGATGAATAAATCACAGTTGGCTAGGTTCATATATGTTAAACCAAAATAAACATAACCCAGATACTGTGATTTATAAATCAAGGTTTAGGTTTACTAAGTTGTCAAATTCTAATTAATTGTAACTTAATTGTCAAACTGAGTTTGCTAAACCCAAGGTAATGGCTTCATACAATGTACAAGCCAAAGTATTGGCTGTGCTCAGCCATCATCATTACATTTGACAACTGCTCAAAACTGGGAAAAATTAAAAGCTGACATGTTTGCCCAGCCTGAATTGATACAAGAGAGATCCATTTTCAAAATGTCACCAGTGGTATCCATCGGAGTGAAGGAAGGTATCAGTTGACACACTCATAAAGGGGCCAAGGCTTCAGTCATGCTGTTTCAACTACCTTAGGTTTTTTTTACATCCTCCTGCACCCCCAAATTCCACTGATCCCCACTTATACTTTGAAGCCTTCAGGGTGATTTAGCTTATCTTAACTTGCAAAGTTGCTAGGAAGATGAAATGGGGAATGGGGAGAACTCTGAATAAAACCTTGGTCCTCCTTGGAGGAAGGACCTTTAAGTAGTAAAAATGAAACATTCTTCCAATTTTAATATAGATAAGATGCATCTTTAGTTGTTGCAAATTTTAAAAACAGAAATGGGGCATTATTTATATAATATTAGTCTGTGAAGTTTCTTGTATTTGTGGAGATTGATCCATAAATTCAGAAAGAACTGAATTCTCTAACTGAGCATTGTTGAAATGTGTTACATTCCTATAATACCCAGCTTGGGTGTGAACTATAGCCTATGGAGAAGATAAGACTGTCTGGAAGCCACTGTAGGTTGGGCAATCTTCTTGTATCAATAGTTGCACTGTATTTGTGTGTATGTGTTTGTGCGCTTGTATATTTTCCAGTCACTGAAATCTATAGCTACTGCTGCAGTAATATCATTAGAGTGGCCAAAGCTGGAATATTTAAAGATGGGGGGACGACATATTTTAAGGATGGAAGCCTTAAGACCTATTTTGCTTCATAACTATAAGGCTATCAATTCTCCATCCTATTTTGGTGGCAAATATGCAAAAGTTATATATACTACAACTACACACAACTCAAATGTCATTACTTTTGATTCCATTTTGCAGACCGAAACAATCCTGCCCATAGCTCAGGATCAGAAATGGGTAATAATTGAGAACCTTTCTCCTGACACAGTGTTTGAGGCAGCCATTCGTGTCAAAATAAAACAGAGCAGCTATTACAACAGTATATGGAGCAGATGGAGCACACCTCCTTTAAGATGGAGGACAGATCCTGAAGGTAAGGTGCATAATAGAAGGCTTGGGTCATCTCTAGAGAACATGTTGAGATAATAAATCCCAAGAACTTAAGTAGAAAACTCAAGAATGATGTTTAACAATAATACTTGACCTTAAAAAAAATTTAAATAAGAAATCTGGTGATACACATATGAGTTAGGATGCGGGAGGAAGTTTCAGGCAAACAAACAAATCTACAATTTAATGTGCAGGATTTTGAATGGGTATATTCCAACATACATGCATCTCACATGTGCAAAATTAGGGACAATTTCTTGTCTTACCACTTTTGCATGAGTTTACTCAAAAGCCTATTTCAAATAATATTTTTCTTAAAATATTGCATTTATACACTTGAGATTTTTGGTTTGTGCTCACAATCCTTTTTTAATTAGGAATGAACACACTTCAGAAATGTATTTATTATAATATTTATATAGTGCCATCTTCCATATGATTCCAGGTGGTTTATAATTCAAACATATACTATAAAACAAAGCAGTGAACATTATTTTAAAGAAACGTGTCTAAAAATACTTACATTAAACAAAACAAACTAAAATTAAATTCTGAATTAGGAAATGTTTCTGACTGGATCACACAAGCACAGCACTCCCTGCTGTTAATTAAAACAGCCATTTTTTTTTTCCAGGATTCAGCCTGAGCTGTAAAAAAGAGTAGCTGAGCCCATTGATAGAAGTTAATGTGCCTCTTTTAAATTTTTACTTTCAAAGGCTGCTAAATATCAGATGTGTGAAAGATTAGATTTGGATTCAAATCTTTTGCTTCCAAATGCAAAAGGTCTCATGAGGAATTTTTAATCAATATACTTTTTCAGGATGTTATTTGTTATTTGGGACTACATGATACATCTGGAATTTATAAGAGTAAGTGTGATATAATGGTTATGTGTTGGTTTAGGATTGAACTAGGACAAACACAAGTTCGAATCTTTCTTCAGACATGGAAGTCTGACAATTTTGAGTCAGTATCTATCTCCTAGTTCAACCAATCCCATAGAACTGTTGATATGGATAAAATTAAAAGGGGAACTATATGCAATTGCCACTTGATTCCTAAAGGAAAAGTGGAATATAAATCTAATGAATAAATACTAGCTTCTATATGGATTCTATTTTTTCACACAATAGTTGCTATTTTTACCTAAAAGCTAGTACAACCAAGGATGTCAACAGAGGAGATAAAAAAATAAGGCTAGTAGCAACTGTGGCAAATGTAACAAAGGTAGAACCTTAGTCATCCAGTTCTGGGGCCATCTTGACTTTTCTGGTTTCCTATTTCCCATGGGTGCCTCTGAGTACAGATGGAGCCAGAATTGCAAATCAGTTCTTTGACTCCAGAATGCTGTGCTCCGACACTTATGTTAGATACAAACTGAGAGTACTCAAACACAAGTAACTAGTTCACAAACTACATGCAAGGCAAAGATAGAATTAACCAGTGGAACAGCTTGCCTTCAGAAACTGTGGGTGCTCCATCATTGGAGGTTTTTAAGAAGAAACTGTACAGTCACTTGTCTGAGATGGTATACTGTAGGTTCTCCTGCTTGAGTGAGGGGCTAGAGTAGAAGACCACCAAGGTGCCTTCCAGCTTCTATTCTATTCTATTCTATTCCATTCTATTCCATTCTATTCTATTCTATAAGTTCCTCATGCTCAATGATAAATTAGCACCTAAAAATCCACAAGGAAGGAGACAATGATGATTGTTAGAAAACAAATACAGTACAAAACCAGTCAAAACATGCAAAACATGCATCAAAAGCATAGGCTAGCAGCCAATCATCATTTTTATCTTTTTAAGAAGGGGTTGGCAAGTATTCTTAGAAATAAAGATTGTGCCAAAGATTAGTGTTTCCCTTTACCATGTCTTATACTAGTTTTTATTGCAGAGGTGGTTAATCTCAAAAACAACAAAGAACCTGATAGGAAACAATTAGTTTTCTGCAAGGATCATGATGCACATTATGGAGGGTTGCAGTACACCAAAGTAGGGACAAGGGGACCAGTTCAGATCTTTAGTCATATCTGAATTTCATGGGATGGTTTGGAGGAGACAACACTCATCACCTATAAGGATATATTGCCTATAAGTGGTAGAAAGGAACATTATATCCTCTTTTTGAAGAAAAAGCAAGACCAGAATAATTACAAAATAATTACAAAAGCAGAACAAAAAATTATCTTCCTCTTATTCATTAAACAAAATCTTAAGTCTACAGTGTTGTATTGTATGAGCCCATATTGCTTTACATATGGAGTCTTCTTCTATATTCAGATAAGACCTAGTTATCTTCAATGAATAGCTAATTTCTACTTTTTGTTTCTGGTTATTTTTGGAGCATCGCCACAAACTACATTCTTTCCAGTTATTGTAGCCATTGCTGGGAGTTTCATCATTTCCATCTTCATCATTTTCTTGATTGTATCTCCAGCATCAAAACGGTAAAAGTGAGCTGAAAACTTACTTCTGTCCTCTTGCTAGTTTTATTAAAAGCATTATCTCCTGGACTACTAATGCAGGTTTCCACTTTGGCAAAATTTCAAATTGATAAGATGTATTTATACATAAATTAAGGGATCCATTTAAACACAGAAGGTTTACTTATTTTTGAAAATGTACATACTGTCAGGGGTGCTTGGCTATTCTTTTATTTGATATCAAAAATTTCCCGCATGCTCAGCATACACTTTCTCTTATATTTACAGCAGCATGGGGATTTCCTCAGAGACTATTCTCTGTGACACTTTCTTGATTGACAATATGATCAAGTTAGTTTGTGTTGTGACTATATGAATATTTCAGAAAGCACTACACAGAAGAATCCACTTTTGAAGAGACCTAAAAGATTTTAGGGAAAAACAAATATAAACAAGAACTGTAAACAGGATCTATGATGAGACAACCAGAATGACTAGATAGAAAAGGAATATTATACTGATGTGATTATTATCTGAAGAAATATTAGAAAACTTTTATACTCAATCGTCATTCATTAAAACAACAAGAATTGTATTAACTTAAGGTTGGTAAAAGAGAACATTATGGGAAAAAGAAGAAATCAAATAAAGTTATTATGTGGATTATAGATTATGAAAATCAACTGTTAGTGAATATTTCTTAAATGTAAACCCAGACAACACACTGTTTACCGAACATTAAGGTGATTATGTTAAAAAATTAAAACACCCTGTTGCCCAAATATGGGAGAGAGAAATCTTTTGCCTTGTATCAGCTCAAACTAGAGCCATCCACAGGCAGCAGTCACAACTGTGACATCATATACAAAGATTTCTCTCTCCCATATTTGGGCAACAGGGTATAACATACAGCATTCTAGATAACTCCTCCCCTGTTTCTTCCCTCCCTAACACAACTGGCAAAAGTGAGACAGAACCTGTGGCCTAGAGGTTAATACATCTGCCTAACATGCAGACAGCCCAGGTTCGAATCTCAGAAGGGTATGGTTGAAAAGAGCTAAAGAGTTCGAAATAGCTATTCCAGTTCTCCCTTAATTCTTTGCTAGCAATCCAAATTTTAGAAATATATATATATATATATATATTTATATTTCTAAAATTTTCTGAGGTTTTCATGGGTGTTTGTATGTAAGTCTTTGGTTATTCGGGTTTTCTCCCGCGTCAGATTGGAAGTGTCTTGGCGACGTTTCTGAAGTTCTGAAATCCTAGAATGCAGATCTCTCATTTCTCATTATTGTGAATTTATAAAAGGAAAAGATGGTGTTCCATTAGAAATCAGATAGCTCTAATTCTATATTGCCTTCCTCCATGATAACAACTATCAGGAAATATGGGCAGCCTCAGTCTAGAAACCAGAACAACATTGTAAATATATTTGAGAAACCCATACTACAATTTGCTGCTATGTAACAGGATAACCACAAAAATACTGACACCCAACCTCTAAAGAATTCTGAAAATGATGCAAAAATAGAGAAAAGATTTTGACACATTGTTTTGATCCAAATCTGTTGTTTCCATGCTTGCTTATGACTGTTCGCCAAACTCTTACTTACAGTACTTTTCATTTTCTTCCAAAATATGCTTGCTTTAGCTTTAGAAAGATGCTTAAGATCAATTTGCCAGATCCAGCTGAGTTCTTTCCATCTCTCACTGGTATCCATGGAGGAGATATTCAGGTATGAGGGGAGGGGGGCTTAGAAATTGATGGATATGTAGCTTAGGACATGACTGCTATCTGGCTAGAGTTAATCTGATGCATGCTTCTCATTACACATAGAGTAATATCTAGGATGCAGTATTAAATAATTAAGCTAAGATGAAACTTAGAAATACTGTTGTTAATAATTAATATTTATTACTACCAAACAAATGGAGAATCAACATAATTAGGTTTTTAAATAATTGCACAAAAATGATTAGAACAGTGATCAGTTCTAATCACTGATTCTTGGTGAAATCAGTATAGCCCTAATTTAATCTGTTTGTTGTTTACTAACTGAATGTTGATATTTGTTTAGCAGTAGGCAATTGTTTAGTTTTACCAACATTACTGATTTTATTAAAATTGTATTTATACTTAGCAAGAAAAAAGGCTAAATAAATATTTACCCACATTGTGTGCATTCTTGTATCCAGTAGCATGTGCTACTTTATCAATAGTTTTGAATTAATTATACAATTTTGAAAAATCCAAATTTCTACATATTTTGGGTTTCTCCAAACTGTTGGGGAACTTTGAAATGGGTTGTATATAATCTCATATATCTCTTCTTTTTTCTTGAGTGTATGATTTAGATCAAAATACATCTTCAATATCAACCTATCATATTAGCAAATTAGCAATGCAATTAATAAATTCAGGAGGAAGAGCTTTCTCTACCCCTTCTTTCACCCCCCCCCTTGTCATATATACACATGTTTTAATTTTAAATGTAGTTTCTAGGTCTAAATAGTACAGAATCAAAACATTCTGCAGGAACACTTAGAGCCTTAGTGACAATTAAAGTTGCACTTATGTCACTACCACTAGCATAATAAGAATCTGTAATAGATGACAAAGGTCAACTGTCTGATAAAATCAAATCAACCAAAATGATATATAATATTCAAAACTTCACTTTCAAAATTTAGGTCAAACCACATATTTGGTTGAAAAAATATAAACTAAACTGGGAAGCAGATGCTGTTGTTTTAGTTTTTAATCAGAGTAATAGGAAATGTTTAACCTTTGCTTTTCTCTTCTGAAACAAAATTTCTAGGTAACAGAAATCTAGAATGAAAATTCCTTTCCCTCCTTGCCAACAACATTATTCAAATAATATTTAGCACTTAGATGAGGAATAAGGCAAAGGCCACCATCACCACTCCTATAAAGGTAGCCTAAGGTAGCTTTTAGAACGCGTAGACATAATATAGTATAGGTGATTTTTTTATGTCATCGTTATGTATCTGCATCACAAATAGTTTTTATTTTTCTAAACAGATTAGAAGTTAATTTCACAATGTGTTCTTTTGCACATACACAAAATGAAAGGGTAATGGGGGTACATTAAGATATCTACCCATATTTGCAGAATAAATAAGAGCAAGCTAAATAAAAGCTGTTCTGCACATTTATTGAAAAAAAATGCAAAATCCGGTCAGTTCTGTGTTAAATGTGCCCAAAATTATCAGGTGCCCCCCTTTTTTGCAAATCATTTAATTCACACATTTTAGTTTGGTTTAAGATTTAGGAAAATTAAGCGCTCTAGGGACCATCTCATGTATAGATGTCAACGAGGGGAGAGAAGAATAAAGTTAATGTCCTGCTTAGCAGTTACCTTAATGAGAGCCTCTATTCACAGAGAGAGTAAAAATTTTATCTACCTTAGTGTAATAAAGGAAGTGCCATTTGATTTGGGAAAAAGTTATTAAAAATTTCCCATCACTTCTTAGCCTTCTCTGTCAGTCATTAATCGGCTTCCAGAAGATGACTTTTAGAAGTGTCAAAGAGGCTGTAGAGAGGACTTCACTTTTGGAAGAAAGAGATTATAGGAGATGACAAGGTTGAACCAGAGGGAGGGGTCAAATGAGTCATGAGTCCCTTCAAGAGATCTAAGTCTAGCCTACCTTGAATTCTTTTCTATTTTTAACTCCCACACATTTCCCTTAATGGTCACTTGGCCAGATTCTTGTAGCAAACTTAAACTTAAATTTCAAATACAAAGTTGTCCTATTTCAGTCTTCTCCATTCTAGTATCTTCTAGTTATGACCATACTGGCTGGAGCCAAAATATCTGGGAGACACTAGGCTGGGACAGGTTGCTCTAGGAAATATGGCACATGATGTTATTATCTATGAAATATACCAGACAGAAATGTTATAGGCCAATTGCTTGTGGAGATGGGATAAAAGATCCTGAACATCTTTATGTTAAGATATGAAATCTGCGCTGCAGCTCATTTTGAATACTAACCCCCTTTCTGTACTTTTCCAACCAGCAGAAGTGGTTGTCCTCCCCAGCATTCATTACTTCCTTCAACATTGCAGCTGAAGCACCCAATGTCTCTATATTAGAGATAATGCAAAATAGCAGCAAGGAGTCCTGCCTTCTCCCTCCTAAGGAATACTTCACAAATATTGAGAACACAGCAGAGACCGGTGGAGAGTCTTCAAGCAGCTGCTTTATGAATCGTGGCTATTTCTTTTTCCATCATCTTGACTCCCTTGAGATTGATTCCTGCAAGGTGTATTTTACCTATGATGCTGTGACTCGTAGTGAAGATAGTGATTTCTATTTCCACAAAGAGCTCCATGAAGCAAGTCACAATTTCCCTTCATCTACCAACATCATGACAAACCAGGAAAATGGTGCCTTTATTCAAGATTATTCAAGAGACAATTTTCCATCAGGGGGGAACTTCCCAATAGCATCAACTGTAGAACAGAATGAAAACATGGAAGACAGAATTCCTCTTGTCTTGTCTTCAAACTCCCCTGAGCAGTATTCCATAGATGATTCAAGCAAGCCACAATCATCTAGCCACAATACTGGTGGAATAGAATTACTCAGAAATGAAGACTTATCTAATAATGTTATGAGAAATAATAGGGTCATGTTTTCAAACCAAGTCCAGTCCAATGATTTCTGCAGAGCCGCATCTTCCAGCCAGATCCCCAGTTCCTCAGAAGCCTATCTTTCCTTGCGGGATTTTCAGAGACATTACAGTCATCATTCTGTCTAATTCCACGATGGGAAGCCTCTTTTGAGAGCAAGACAGTTTCTTTATATATCATTTATTTGCTCCAGTCAAGAAAGCAGAAATAGATCTCCATTCTTTTCACATGATTTCTAACGGAAGAATGGGTAGATTTCATATTTTATGGGGATATCAATTTCAGAGAAACCTGGCCAGATACATTTTAGCAGAATGACACAACTCGTCACAGTCAACTCACCATGGGACAACTCACCACAGGACAATTCAACATGGGACAACTCAAGAGAGGGACAAGTAGAATTGCAGTTCACCCCAGTCTCAATGAGAACATGAGAACATTCAAACCTAAACAAGCCCCTCTGCAATTTACTTGTCTCTCTCTTGAATTAGCCCACATTGAACTGTCCTGCAGCAAGTTATTCCATGGCGAATTGGCCTCAGCAAGTTGTCCCACAGTGAGTCAGCTGGAGCGAGTCAGCCAGGGTGAGACAGCTGGGCCCAGTCAACTGCAATGAGTTGGCCAGGGTAAGTTGTCCTAGATCCAAATTTAAGGGCCTCCAAAGTTTATTTTCTATAAAATGCTTTTGTTATTGTTCTTTGCATAGAATTTCACAACCCAAAATCTCACATCACTAAATTTTGCTCTGAAATTGCCAAATGAAAAATTTACAATTTCAGCCCACAAGAGTTTTAATATAAGTTGCTGCTCCTGGTGTTGATTTTGATCAGTTCTTTTTAAATTTTATTTCCTTTTCATTGATGTGGGAATACAAATAGCCTTTGACTTATAACCACACTGGGGCCAGGATTTCAGTTGATAAGCAAGGGGATGCTACGGGGGATGCTGTGAGGATTGTAGCTGTGAGGATTGGTTGTAAATCCTTTTTTTTTTTTTTTTGGTGCTGTTGTATCTTCAAAAGGTCACCGGGGTTTTTTGCCCTTGCACTCTATAGAGGTTGAACAATGTAAAATGTGGCCTGTTTTTCTGCTGAAAAAGTGGCAGAATGGATAAAAATTGCTGTCTTATAAGAAATTGCAGTAGGGTTCTGCCCAGTGACATTCAAGTCAGTCTGAAAAACTGAAATCAGAATCTAACTGAAACAAAGTGGGTTTTTTTTTTTAAAGTATTGTGGTTATTATTCAAAGGTGCTTTGCTCTGCTCTATTACATTCCTCTCCAATCTCTTGTATGCAAGTACTAGAGGAGTAACTAGAAGATAATTTGCTGTTTTCATTGCTCCTTGCTCTGAATTTGAGCACTTCCCTATCACCATGGCTTCCACTCCCCAATCCCTGAAAAGGGTCTGAAGACACTTGGCAATTATTTCCAAATTTGCTGACCTTGTAATGCTGACCAAGGGTCACGCTGCTCTGTTCTGAGTTGTCACAATCCCTGCAGCAACAAAAGCAAACAGAAAACCCTCAGTGTTCCATGAAGGGATATCCAGTAAAAAGCCATCAAGTCACCTTTCTCTTTAAAAGCCTTCTCCTGCAGTCCAGAAACCAATAGGCAGGAAAAGGCAGAAGACTCGGCAAAGGAGGAAAGAAACCAGCCATAAACTGCAGAGAGCTGCAGCCTCTCAAAACAGAAAGGAGCTTCACGATGCTTTGGGATGCATTGGCCCAGCTGGCAAGACAGAGCACTATAGGGTCACAAGGCTGCATGTGGAGGCGTCCTTTCGTCAAACTGCTTTATACAATAAGCTGCTTTATTGTCTGTGGACTCCCTTAGGAGCAGCACCTTGGCTTGAGTCCAAATATAAGCTCATTTTTTTCCTGGGTTTTGATATATTTTGCTGAAACTTAATAAAGATTTTATTTTTAAAAAAGAAAGCTCATGGAAAGTTTACCATTTACTCCATTTTCTCCTGAGCTGAGATCCATAAGAGTGTTTGGGGAAAAACCTGTGTTTATATTTATTCCATAGTCTCAATATGGCATGTCAAAATGATTTCTGAAAACTTTCATTTTCTTGTACCATAAATATCCATGCCATCTGAACCTAATATTGTGATCTTCTAACTCTAAAAGTCCTGTTTCTCAGCAACATCCATTCTTTCATCCAGGACCCAAACAAGAAGCAGCAAAATACAATTTCAAATTTGGTAAACCCAATCTTCCTTTTTAATTTGTATCTTTTAACACTTTATATTTAACTGGTGGTTTTTTCCATTGCTTTATAAATTTAGATCTATCTTTTTGCCATTGTTTAAGTGGTACGTCAGTTATCAAAGCAGGTGTTGTCTGAAACAAAAAGATGATTCTTGTCAAAATACTCATTTTTATCACAAATATTCTCACCAACAGATTGTTTTAATTTCTTCCATCTTAATATTTCATTCTTAATTTCATTCCATCGCTAACCATAATTATTTCAAAATACCATACAATTCATATTTGTCATAGTAATGCCCAGGTATTACTTTGGGTGCCTTTCCCATCTTCCCCTTTTGCAAGAGACAAGCTTTATTTACAGAATGAATCTGTTCTCCAAAATTAAAAGGTGAAATGCAACATTGTAATGAAGTCGGAAAAAAGAGACAAAAATAAGCTAAATTATTTTTTCTGCAGGATTATGTCGATAATGTATTATTACTACTGTTTTGATTTTTTTGCATTTCACGCCATTAGCTAACTTGAGTTCTTTAGCATGAGAAAAGTGGGATTTTTAATTATATATTTTCAATATTCATATACAAATTAAGTGTTCTTTTTATTTCTTGTGAAGTGAATAGAGGAAAATGTTTCATGGTTTTTTAAAAAAAGTATTTGAAATTGGGATATTGAACAAATAATCTCTTTGTTTGATCAGACAAATGATCCAACTTTCATTTGATTAACAATAATTCTTGTGGAGCAACATCACCCAGTTCCCATGTGAGAAATCTGATAATTATCTTCATTGTATCCCTTGTTTGAAGAAAACATCAGGTCATTAGCTAGGAAGATGGGTGGATCAGCTCATTTAAACAGAGAGATCTGCACCTGTGCCTAAAACCAAAACCAATTTCAAGTACATGTTCAGTCAACATTTCTCAGACTTCCTCGTCTTTGAAGCAACAATAGAACTGCCACAGTCATGCAGACAGTACCTTTAATAATAACAGAATGAAATGAAATAAATTGTAACACATCATTAGCATACTTTCCACTGTGCCCATTCTTCTAGTTCATGCTGAATCAAGCCCTTTTATCTAATCTTCTGTATCAGTGGTTCTCAAGCTTTTTAATGCTGTGACCCCCAACCGGTCGTAAGTCGAGGACTACTCAATCGGTCGTAAGTCGAGGACTACTCAACTGGTGCAGCACCATTTGCAGAATGGGACTTTTGGCGGGCTCAGCAGGGCAGAGACAGCCTGGACAATTCCTATTGGCTTTTGAAAGCCAATAGAATTAGACTCTATTCAAGAAAGTCTATTCTATTGGCTTTCAAAAGCTAATAGAATAAAAGGGAGTAGCACAGCTAAGGAAAAGGGGGGAAAATGGCGGACTGCATTGTTTGGCGACCCCCGTAAAATGGTCATTCGACCCCAAATGGGGTCCCGACCACAGGTTGAGAACCACTGTTCTATATCCACAGTGCACAATCAGAAGTTTCCAAGGTTTCAAGTGCCCTCCCCGAGAAGACTTGGCTTTGTCTTTAACAGACTTTGATCTAATTGATATTTTGAATGTGTCTAAAGGGGAAATTATAAATACTAGGCTAGATTATAAGCAAGCTAAGTATAGTTAAGTTTAATTTAATGAAAATTGAAAAAAAATTCAAACAGAGTTTTTGTTCTGCCTCCAAATGCTTTGGAGTGGCGTCCACAATACATCACTTAGTGCAGTGTTTCCCAAACTTGACAATTTTAAGGCATGTGGACTTCAACTCCCAGAATTCCACAGCCAGCGTTGCTGGCTGTGGAATTCTGGGAGTTGAAGTCCTCATGCCTTAAAATTGTCAAGTTTGGGAAACACTGACTTAGTGTTTGGTTGATCCAAGATCCTGGTAAACCGAGAGTAAAATTTCTTAATTTAAATTGGAGGAATCTCTCATTAGGATATAATCAGTGATTCCTGGGGTTTTTTTCTGTAGTGTACAAAAAAGGCTACTATGTGGATGAAGGGGGAACCTCTTCCCTTTATCAGATTTTGTCAATCAACAACTTGTTTATGTAGTTTTCCTGCTTTTCTCAGAACAAAGGGTCTATGAAAAAATGTGGTTAGCATTACAAGCACAATATTAAATTGAAAGCTGCTTGCCAACTGCAACAATACAGAGGTTGCGGCATTGAAATGACTTGATATTTCATGGTTTCCTGTTTTCTAATCATGGCAAGCTCTCTTGCTTGATATAATTATTCTTCCAATTAACATTCACACTCAATAAACACATTCCCATCTGATGCTTTTTACATAATAAGACTCTAACTATGAAGGCAATTTTAAATTTGCCACATGGTTAGTAGAATGAAAGAAATGCTATTTATCAATGCACCAACTTTTATAAAGATTTTGTCATACAGAGGTAGACTTGGATTGGAGGAAAACTTTACCATCAATTCTCAGAAATTATGATATGAAAAGGCTCTGCAGGTTTTCTATCTCTGTATGATAAAATCTTTATAAAGGTAATAGTGCTGTCCACACTGAAGTCCAAGCAGTGCAGTCTTTGAATAAGTAAGCACTAAAAGAGGAGGTGCTGCTGTTTTGTTTCTTGTCTTCCATAGAGAAAAGATGTGAAACCAGAGGAATAGATAGACAAATCTTGGAAGAATAGCAGGGCCACAATAAAAGTGTTAGCAGAGATATCTGACCTGGCAGGTACCTGACAACAGCACTTCCACACTCTGGCAGAATATGTGCATGTATTTGAGGGAGATGATTTAAAGAGGCAGGGCCACACAGCTTTTCAGTTTTCTTTTTCTTTTCTTATTTACAGATTCAATACTAGGGTGTGGTCTATTGCTTCCTTCAAGGCAAAAAGTACTTTTGTCTCTCAAAGAAGCACTTAACACCTCCCAAATAAAGCCACACATGTCCTTTCTAGTTACCTAAAGCAGAGTTCCCCAACATTTCTGGCTTTGCAGACCGGTGGGGGTGGGGAGAGGGGATAGTTCTTCATGAATGGCCAGCAAGTGCATGGGCAACATGCAGCTCCATTTGCATGAGTGGTGTGCATGCATGCATGCTGCTCATGCAAATAGAGCTCATGCACATGCGCATGCTCTCACCTGCTGCTTGCAGAAGTGAAGATACACGTGCTGGCACATGTGCTCACCGTCCATTTCCATGGCCCAGTTGCAATCCCCTCACAGCCCTCTAGTGGGCCACGGCCCACAGGCCAGGGACCCCTGACTGAAAGGATCCAGTTGGTCCTGGATCTAGATCATGGATGGCAAACCGCATTCTACAGAGCTCCACTGTCTCAAAGTTCATGACTGCAAGTAAAGCCCAGATAACTTTGCAAGATGTTCTACTAGTCAGCAAAATCTGTCCAGGTGGAATCCAAATCCAAGCAACATGAGTGATTTTATTGGTGGAATGTTTGGCAAAGATGTCTGTTGACAGGTCTTCCTTCCCTTCCCTATCTACCAGGGTATGGGCCGTCTTAAACAGAGCTACTGTGAGACATTATTGGACAGGGAAACCTTCACCTCTTTTTTTATACTTTAGAATTGCTTGTGAAATGTCTCCTGAGGGCAGGTTTAGAAAAAGGAGAAACATCATGACTTGGATTTCTGTGAGTAAAAATGTTAATAATGTAATAAGGATCCTCTTGGAAGTAAAATCTGGTCCTGTTCCAAGCTGGGAGAAAGACGCTGAAAAAATGATCTGCAGACAGGCTGCATTTTGGAAAGGAGGTCTCTGTTTGTTTGGTAGCCAGAAACTACAGTGACAGCAACATGTTTCTGGGGTGGCTTACAAAATTGGGTTGAGAGTAGGTGGGTTTTTATACATTCTTTGGGTTTTGTGATTGAGAATCCTGCTCCTGTGCAAAAATATGCCTTTTAATATTTTAATGGCCAGATTCCTATGTGGTCATGTAGGGGTCATGACTGGTTGTACTGGCAAAAGGGGAAATGCAAATCCTAAATGTTTTGTTTGTCTGAGCTAATCTTGTCAGTTTTGGCTCCTTGCCTTTTGTGTTATTTATTCAGAGATTCTGGCTTCTCTTTGTTTTTGAATATAATGGCCCAGCTTTCTGAATGGATACACAATATCCATTCCTAAAGACTACCCTCTTCAAGTTTCTGCTTGAGGCTGTTTTCCTATGGCAGGAAGACTGGGGCTGCTTTCTGGTTTTAAGAAGAGGTTTCTCGTCTTCTTCTTTATGGGAAATATAATATTCTGCCTGTTTTTAATATTAAGAATAAAGAGTATTTTATTCTGGGGAGAGAGGGCTTTCCTACAATCCTAAAATAATTTTTAAATGAGTCAAAGATAATCACAAGGCTGCATATCTGACTTGACTTTAAGTCTTTTAAGATAAGCATCAAACCCTGTGGCCATCCATATGTTATTGAACTGTAACTTTACTCACTGTTTTAGCCATTGATAAGGCATGCATTGAATTCAGTAACTATTGGAAGAATTTGTGTTGTCCATCTGGTAGTGGCTTAGAAGGATCAGACATCAGACATTTCAGATGATCCAAAGATAATATTAAAGATCAATGTGGAACCAGTGTTAGTTTTGTGCTATATCATCTTAAGAAAAATACAGGATTGCTTTCAATCTTAAAATAGGAGAAAAGGAAAGGAAAGGCACCAGATGTTGGTTCCAATTCTCTTATATTGGTAGCTGGCTGCTTCTTAGACCAGCTTACAAAATCACCATCTTCATATTTTTTTTTTTTTAAAAAAAATAGGAGTTTAAAAGTTCTGCCTTTTTTTTGTCATTAGCACTTGTCTGTATTGAACAGCTGGAGTACTGTTTCTTTTTTATGTTGTTTTAAATGTATATATAAAGTTCTTTTCATTTATTTCATTGCTTTCATCTGGCCATCCATCATGCTATAGTAAGTAGCTAATAATAGAGTAGAAAAACTGTTCTTACAGTTTGTTTTTTTTTTGTCAAAATTACACCTTACAAATTCACTTCTCTCTACACATTCTTTTTCTTGGTGACCTCTCCCTTTTTCTACTTCCTATTTGTGTTTTTCCTATACTTTGAAACTTCACTAAGCTTTTTGTGCAGACACACTGGTTTCTATTGCTGCTGTCTTTGAAGGTTTTTTTTCCCCCTCAGTGGAATCATTTGTAACTGTGCTTTGGGCATTTCTTTGCTTTAGAATCTCTCACTTTTAAGCTCACTTTCCCATCAGTTTCTCCAGCTTTGGAATCTTACTTAGCATTTCTCTGAGTTAAACTCTGCTTACTTTGAAGTTCACAGCATGTGTTTGATTTCACTCAACTCTAGATTTCCTTAAAATCAAGAACTTTTGGCCTTACTTATTATTTTCCACCAATGCTGGAAGCCAAGAGGTGTAACTAAGACAGGGAACAGTTGCTGGGCAACTAGGTAATAGTTTCTAGAGCAGGGTCCAGAGGGAGAGAGAGGTAGGAGCAAGTACAGCATTATCTTCTCCATTGCAATATCCGTTTAACCTTCCACTAATCACTTCTGAGCTCTTGTTGGCCACTATGTTTTCTAGTCACCTGCTCTGCTGGAGAGATATTAAGTCACTTGGTACTATAGTTTCCCCAGGAATTAACTATATCAAACAGGTATGGTGGTGCTGTTTTCTTGGACAAATCTGTTAGACAGCATAGCTGTTAAGAGACACAGA